CAGTCCGAAATCAACTCGTTCAACGCTCTGGATCTCAACCTGCATGCACCACTCACACTCACTGCACGCCATCGCTGTGCGTCCCATCTTTTCTTTCTTATTGTTACTCGCTAAATCACTCTAAGCCTGTTTCACAGGCGTAGCCTCAACCTCCAAAACCTGCTCGACCTTGCAATTCAACTCGCAGGGACTGAGCGACGACCAAGGCGTGGTGACGAAGACTACTTTGTATGGCCCAAGGACACGTTAATCCTTTACCAACGTGAATTCTGCTTGCAGAAGAATGAGGCAGAGGCTGCTAGTGGTGCAGGGATTGGGACCGTAGAAATAATATAATATTCACTATCTTTTTGTATTAAATAATTAAATATAATTACATTTATTAATTATTTGATACAAAATTGCATGCAAAGCAGAAGCAATCTATCCAGATGCTTGTAATGACTTGTATATATTGTAAGAGAATACTATACTGTCAAAAAATAATAAGTATATTTTAACATTATTATTTTGGGAGGTATGTTATAATCACTTATATATCTTGACAATATGTACAATCATAATTAATAACAGTAATTCCAATAATTGTTCTAGATTCTTATTATACTTGCATTAAATTATAATTAACTTGTGAAAACCCCTATGAAGAATATAATTGCTTCAACAAAATTTACAAAAAGTATAAAATATACCTGGTTATAATCTAATACAAGTGTTGCGACTTTTTCGTGATGCTATCGAACCTTTCAAGCAAGGCAATTACATAATTTGACAACAAGGAAGCACGATGGGTGCTATCTGGAGCACACAGTGTCAAGGCAGAATCATAGAGTGAAATTGCCTCGTCTAGAAGTTTCTCTGATCCAGTATACTGACATAATGCTGTGATTGCTACGCCAAGGCTGGCCTGCAAGGCTGATTGGGTAGGGTGACGTTCTGGGAGAAGTTCCAGTGCAGTACGAAAAACAAATACAGACTCATCTAGGTCATGTTTTTCGGACCATCGCTCGTACCGTTTAAGCAGAGAGCTGCCAAGCTTTAAGGAAGTATTTGGTCGATAATGGTGATCACTAGACAGGAGATTGAGTACACTTTGCTGAAGTAGAATGGAGTTATCGTGTCTTATGCGCTGTCCAGTGTGTTCATATGCAGTACAAATTAAAAGGATATTATCAATCCAGATGGGAGATGGGTTGTTTCGGAAAGCTTCTGGATGCAAACCCATTGAGTCTAGCAATAGCTTTACAACCCAATCTGTCTCCCCTGATTTCCTCGGGTCAACATCAATCAAGCACCGAATAGTACATTGCTTACTTGTGTTGTCCATTATTGGCCTTGGTAGTTTCTGAGGTGAGCTCTATTCCAATCAAGACTTCAAATGAGAGAGGTAGAGATGGCAGCGAGTGTCTCCACTGAGCACTGAGGAAGTCGGATCGCGGTATTAAATAACCAATATGAGACATAGCGCTGGCTGGAACAAACTACCTATACAATAGCATTGAGTGATTGGTACTGATAAAAGAGAAATATACTTGTAATAAAGATACGTTACGACTATTCACGAGGAGAGTCGATGGTACTATAGGTAAAATTAAAACTCCGACTGGATGTCCATTATCTCATCGCCTTTCAATTTCAAATTCTTTCTCCGTTTTTCTTTCACTTTCAAGGACATCACGCTGTGAAATCTGGCCATCCTATGGCACAAAGGTCTACGCACTCCATTTTGTACGACGTACGGCTCGGTACCACCTTCAAATACTGTGTGCTTGACGGCTACTTCCTTGAGGTTCTGTCTCTGCTGCCCTGCTGCCGTTGTTCTAGGGAGCGAATGGTTGCGATGCCAAATGCTTATAACCATTATGCGTGCTTTGCTTCGCGATGGCCAATGTCGATATGATGCGGATGTCTCAACCTCTCTTTCGGTAGTCTAAAATCCCACAATGCCTTTGCTGTCTATTCTGCAATTTGATCTTGCCTTTCACTAACTGTAAGGTGTTTGTTGTTTCTGGACATTGTAATCAATGACCACTTTAGCTATTGTCTGCTGCGCTATTGGACTCTTTTCATATCGTATCAAACCCTTTGCTTCTCTGCAAGTACAAAGGTTCTATTCTGTCCGTCAGATTATTCATATAGTGAGAATACTATTCGACAGACGGATTTCCATTCATCGGTCGCTTTGTCATTGTCTCATTGATTTGATTCCATTTTCCTCCCCTTAGGAACCGAACCTGCTCTCGCTGTCCACTAGGCTACCGTCGACAATAGACAAATAGACTAACAGACCAACGAATAGACCTTGACGCTGAAACATGAAAACATGATGACAAAAAAAGCGCCTTGCTGGGAGAAATCGTCCAAGAAGGGGGTTTGTGAGTTCGGGAAGGACTTCTACTATTGACCGCAGTAACAACGATGTTAAATATGATCGGACGTTTATCTCGAAAGGTTGAGATTGAGATTGAGATTGAGAAACCGCGCTTCTCCCCCGGTAGTCGGATGATTGTCTAATACGAATACTACTAAGTAATTCTCACAGCAGGATCACACCGCTGAAGCAGTGAAGCCCAGTATCTAGTATCTTTGCTCCTTCAGCCTTTGCCTCCGACATCTCAGCAACGCTGCAACGGCGTCTCCGAGATGCCCTCCTAGGTATCTCAATCATAACCTTTTTGCGTTATGATCTGCAGTGGATGCACAAATAGAAATTATTCATGCCTTCAGGTTGGCTTGACAGCCACTGCGGTACCGCGACACAAGAGAATATAGAAGTGGAGTTCACAGGCTCATATGTCAAAATGTTTAATTGGATGATCGATGAAATTCAAACCCGATATGCACGCCCTTGATTCCTTGAAGCCCGTGTGGTCTCTCGCGAAGCTCATTTGACTTCTACTTATGAGCGCTTCCATATTGTCTTATTCAGGAACCAAGACAGGATGCTTGTATACTTATATATAGGCCTGATCTCCTGGTCGCCACTGTTGAATCACTTGAATGGATGCCCTCCCCTACTTATCCCCAAGCTTCTTCGCCGAATGATTGCTATAGCGACGCGCGAAGAGATGCGAATCCAGTATGGGCGGTGGCGTTTTTTGAGTGAAGGAGGAAAGAGTCCGGACTCTGAAAAGACCACGAGTCCGGCCTGTTGTTGTACGTTGCGAGGGCGTCATCAAATTCTAGCTTTATGCCTCATATGGAAGTTTCTATGTCTCGTTTTCGTTACTTATTCAGCTTATTTCTTTCTTTGTAATTTTTGTGACCGGTAATGCCTTTCGTCGTTCAGACATAACCACTGGCCATGCAGCATCTGGATAAATAAAACTATTCGCTGGAAGCAATAAGAATGCGAATGGCATTGGAAGACGCACAGCAAGACGAAGTGGACGCGTCGGAATGGAAAGCGGACAGTGAGACAGCAACCGATAGCTTAGTAGAAGAGGCAGAACAAGCGACCCGAAGTATGCACTTACTTCATTCTCTTTCCTGCCTTTTACCGCCATCTCCCCGCCCTCTCGACTGAGCCCAAGGCGTTCCTCGTCCTCTATTTCACAGCGCAGCGGAAAGCCCGTTTGGAAGAAATTCGTCGTTCATTGGTTCGTCACTCGCTTGGTACCTCCGTGTTTTTCGAAGTCAAGTTGACAACCGGCTTACGGATTTATTTAGCTTGCCCGCTCCCGGTCAACGAACGACGACGACGTTATTTCAGGACACATACGATTGTATCGCACGAATATACACATCGTGTCCCGCTCCCTCTTTTTATAAGTAAAAAGGAATATACGGGCGCGCGGAGCTCAGCGCGACGAAGGGCCGGGCCTTTCGACCAACATAACATCTCATCCCACGTTCATTTTGCATATACACGCTCCTTCCCCTCAATAAAACGAACCTTGAGCTTGCTTGCTGTTCTCCGTTTTTGCTTGCTTGCAACAACTCGCGGAGCGAGGTCGAAACGCAGTCTCTTTCCTTTCATCGAGTTACCGTTAACCGAAAATGTCTTCTTCATCTCCGGCTTCGACGACCTCTGCATCCGATGCAGATCGGGTCGTATCTGGTGTTAGTCTGCGTGCGTCTGTGCTTGAGGCGGCGTTGGACCTTGGAATCCGCAACTCCGTGATGAAGAAATGGATGTTCAATCCTCTGGCAGAGGACGAAGAGGAAGAGGTGAGCAATTCTTCTCATGTCCGCGTCCTACCCTATATATGCTCGTTTTCCGTATCCCCCACGTTATGTTTTTTTCCATGCTTGTCATACGTTGGCATGGCTTTGCATTCCCTGGGATTTTTCCCGTTATAATAAGTCTGGCATGCTGACCCCCTCGTGTCATCCTCGCCTTTTTCAATGGCACATCTAGCATAACACGCCAGCCTTGACATCGCCTTCGACTTCAGAAGAGTCGTCTATGTCCCCGTACAGCATCATAACGCCGAGCCAGTCTACGTATAACTATAACTATCCTTATCCAAGACAACTCAATCCGGACAAACTAGGATCCGGATCTAGCGACCAGTTCTCCGCGAATAATATCACCTTGGGCTTGGGAGGCATAGGCGCGACCGATCAAATTCAAAAGGCGCCGCCCATGAAGCTTACTCTGGCTGTCCCCCCAACTCGGAATAAATTGAAGAAGCAGCGTAGTCCGACGGGATATGAGAGCGACGGCGGAGGCGGAGGTTATCTTTCAGATGGACCTAAAAAAGCCAAGGTCAAGACAAAGAAGGGTATGACGTGGAGAAGGAAAGACACCGCAGATGGGGATGATGAGAGCGACGGAGGCTATCGCAGTGAGGCGATCTCGGGCAGCCGAGTGGGCGCGGGAGAAACGAAGAAAGCAAAGCGGAAGGCGAAAAGTACTAAGGAGAAGGGTGGGATCAAGCGGGAGGAAGCGTCACCTACGCCGCCCTTGGGAGACCGGGACCCAGGCGCACTGCTTGCGACTATCAACGCGTCTGTCTTGCCTGATCCAGAGTCTCGTTCTGGCTCTGCGATAGGACATAGCATGGATGGCTACCTTACTGACTCGGGGGTTACGGAAAAGCGCGGGCGCACGAAGAAAAAGTCCAAAACGAAGGAAAAGGGAAAGAAGAGTCGGGCGGGAAGTCCGGGAGAGGATGATGCGACCACGTATACACCCACGAAGAAGAAGTCGTTGTTCCGATTGATGGGACGGTCTGTATCTCGAGAAGGCAAGGATAGAGATCGGGAGGTCGAGACGCCGCCTCCACTGCCCGCTCCGCCGCTACCGATGATACTGCCGATTGCGGAACGTTTCGCACGAACGGGGACGCCGACTGCGAACGGGAGTACCAATGCCACGTTAACAACAACGTCCTCGTCCTTGGATGCGGGTTCGAGCTCGACCTTGACCAAGTCTTCCTCGTCCATCGAGCTGCGTTCAGTCGGTAGTCTGAGTACACTGGTTCCTCCACGTGACCCACTGCGTTCCGAGAGTCCCTGGAGCAACCGCAGCGCGCCGAGTAGGATAGGTGTGACGACTACCGACAGGGCAGGGTCGTTCGATCTTCCTAGGGTGAACAGAGATATCAATGTAATTTCTCTGTCTGATGCGCTTCGGCCCCTTGCGAATGGTACACGTTCAGAGCCCGGGCATGGTAGCAACAACCGATCCGACTCTGGGCACGAGACGAGTCATGGCCATGACCGACCGACGTCGCCTACCGCCATCACCACCAACGGCAGCACCAGTCCGGAGTCGGGGAAGTCACCGACGAAGAGGATAGCCAAGCTCTTCCCGTTCGGGCATTCGCGCGAGAACGACAGCAACGGATCATCCTCCTCGTCGAAGACTACAATCTCAAACCCGAATCCACATCTCGGACAGAGGGAATCGTCGATGGGATTGCCGAATCCATTTGAGATTGCTGCTGCGTTGACGGCAACGGCGAAGGGTCTTTCACCAATGCACTTGCTTCCTCAACACAAGCATGCGAACCTGGACGTGAGGCGGTCTGATTCACCCGAGTCGTTTATTATCATTAACGAAGAGGATGGGATCCCGACTCCCATGCGGCAACAGCGCTTTGAGAACGCGAATGCTGGCTTCGATGTGAATGACTCGTCTGCCGTGCGCGGAAGGTCTGATACACCTTCCAGCCTTGCTGATCGACGACGCGCCAACTTGGACGTACTCGACCTCACACCTACTCAAAGTCGAGCAGGCTCACCGAGCCCCAGCCGTGATGGATTTCGAGCAGCACGAGCGAGTGTCCTCGCATACTACCAGGTCCCACCGCCATCCCCACCTCCCGCAGGACCTCTCCCTCCAAGACCTGACAGCGTGAACGACGCACCTTTCTCACGCCGCGGAAGCGATGACAACCAACTATTATCACCCGGTCGAGCCTACGCTTCACGTTCTCCGTCTCCTCTCGGTCCTGGTGGTCGATACTCGCGATCGCCTTCTCCAGGGATGGGTATGGGTCAAGTCCGTCGTGGACGTGAATCCCCCTTCCCAACTCGTCCCATCCTCCCACCGCAAGACAGCCGAGAACTCGTCGAGCGTGTAGAACGATACAAAGCTCTATACGCTGCTGTCGACGCTGACGGTGCTGACGTACCCGAGGACGCATTTGTGGGTATGGACGAGTTCTTTGATAAACATAGTTCAGCGTATATCCGCGCTGCGCGTGCACGTGGGGAGAAACGTGTGTATTTTGATGTTGTGAGGAGGTCGTACGAGGCTAGTCTGCGAAATAGTCATACATTTTATGTGAATGGTCCTCATGCGATTTTGCCGCCGGAGATAGCTATCGAGCCTGCAGACGACTACGATCCTAGATACAACAACAACAGTACCGACTTTGATGACGCAACAGACGAACGTCTCCGTTACTCCACCACACTATCTGACGCCGAAGTAGCAGCTGCCGAACACCTTAACACATTAGAAACAGTCGTAGAAGAAGACTCTTCTTCCGACTCTCGTTCATTCGCAGCTTCTTCCGTATATTCACGGTACAGCGTATTGGACGAAGGGAAGAGCGCTACAGTACGTGAAGGGTTCGTTAGAAGGGTTGCGGCGCTGTATGGTCAGGACAAGTTGTTAAGGGAGGAGATACCTGAGGTTCCGAAGATACCTAATGAGTTTCGCGATGCTGCGCCCGCTGCTGGACGGCCCCCGAATGAAAAGGCTGCTGCTAGTGCGTTGAAGGTTACCAGTAGCCCGTTTAGATTTTGAATATGAATGTTCCGTTCTTTTACTCTTGGCCTTCTCTTATTTTCATATCCCTTCCCTTGCTTGCTGCGTTCGTCCCTTGTGCCTTACCTTTGTATTCTTGGTCTATCAGGTTGATCTCTGGCCCCAACCTACTATCCTCAGCTAACTCGTTACACTTTTAAGAGTAAACTTGTATTAGTATCATTGACGTTCTTTACTTCTTACATTCTTTTCTTTTTGCCGTTTTAAAAAGATAGACGTTTGAACCCCAACCATCTTTAATTCTTCTATATCTCTTCTGTCTCTTATTACGTCTTGACTTACTCGACTTACTCTATGAATCCGGCTCTCTACCCCTGTATACATGCTAAAACGAAGAAGATAGGTGAAATATTGTTCGGTTGTTTTTTTTTGGTGTATTTTGGTTTCTATATAGTGTTGAAGAATTACATAGCATAATATTGCATTGTTAACATACACTGATATAATAGGCGTGGTCAAACCTTGCAATTCTCTGTGCAATTCACCTTGCAATTCTAGGGTGAATCACAAGGTGAATCATGTGTGCAGGTTTGACCAGCACACTTGTACATGTGCAATTCACCTCAATATACCAACCCTTGATCTTACTGCCTTTTTCATAAGTATTGTCACACTTGATGATTCATCATTTTTGTCACAAAAGTAAACAAAACAAAAAAATAACTATTTCTCACTCAATTCTGCACAGAATTCAGTGATTATTTGACATAAATTCATGTTTTTTAAATATGCTTCAAATAGACACTTTAATTATTAAATTTGAGCAAGATTTGACTGAGTTATAGTGAAAATACACTGTTTTTCAT